CATTTAACAAAGAAAAATCAACCAAAAAAATGAGTTCGCATGTCACCTCTGACACACGTGTCATAGGTTCGCCATCACTGGTCTAGGAGAGGTCAGGCTACTGGGACTGGTGGAGGCTATGGCTTTGAGAGGGGAATGGCCATGGGCTGCTGCTGTTCCTACCTGTGTCCAGGGGAGTCCCTCGGGTACAGGCCACCAGAGCCCCCATACTGGGCTGTGAAGTCATCCCTGACATGGAATCAGATGCCACGTCCACCACATCAGCCCCAGCCTGGGCACAGGCCAGCATGGCTGCCACACCTGCCCCTGACGTGTCGTGGGTATGGATATGCAGCGGGAGGTCAGGAAAGCGGTCCCGGAGAGAGCCGACCAGCATGGTGCAGGCCGCTGGCTTCAGCAGCCCTGCCATGTCCTGGGGAAGAGGAGAAAACGATGGTAAGAAGTGGGCACGATGTGTGCATGACGGGGGAGTTGGGAAACGTGGTAAGGAGGTAGGGGAGATGGGAAATTGGGGAGACTGCTGTAGGTGGGCTGGGCCCAGGCACCTTAATGCACAGTATGTGGGTGCCAGCTCGCACCAGCTCTTCAGCCAAATCCATGTAGTACTGCAGTGAGTATTTGGTGCGGCTGGGGTCGGCCACGTCACCAGTGTAAGAGATGGCGGCTTCTACCACACCACCGGCACTGCCCACTGCCTCCGTGCCCAGCAGCAGATTGGGCAGGTAGTTGAGGGAGTCAAAGACCCGGAAGACATCCATGCCATTTTCCTTGGCCACCTCACAGAACCTGAGTGCGTAGAAGAGTCCAGGGGTTAGCCACATCCTGCTTTTCCCTCACCCCTCACATCTTTCTCTGGTTCGTGGTCCAGTATGGGCCCTGGGGAATGAGTCAGTCAGGCCTGGCAGAGGGCATGGTCCCCACAGAGCAGGAGTGGGCACCACCCTGTGGATAAGGCCTCCAGGGAAGCCTGGTCTGGGCAGGGTTGTCCCAGAGGCATCTGGCACCAAGCAAAGGTGTCCTACACTAGTGCCCAGGTCAAAGGATTAGCTGGGGATTCTCTGCAAAGCAGTGGCAGGCTAAGGGAGAAAGCACTGAACAGCCCAGCTCTACACCACACGGCCTGGGACAAGTCACCTGCCGGCTTGGGATCTCCACTGTGCCATGATCTAGAAGCCTGTCCAGGTCTCCAACTATAATTCTACATTTTACAACATTTCCAAATAGCAGGCCTTACTGGGTGCAGCTACTGGGAGTCTTGGTTGTGAGTCTGCTGTGGGGAGTGCAGGCTGTTGCAGTGTGGCCTGGCACGTGCTGGGCCACGTCATGCAGTGTCTACCCACCCACCCCAGGCTCACTTGAAGACCACATTGTCAGGATAGTTGGTGTAGCCCACGGCATTGGCCCCCCGCAGCAGCATCTGGAATGGGATGTTGGGGATGAGCTCCCGGAGCTCCTGCAGACGCCGCCAAGGGCACTCGTATAGGAAGCGCATTGCAACATCAAACGTGGCTCCTGCACAGGGACCAAGAGCCCCAGGTCAGCCCATGTCCTCGGGACCCCACCACGCCTTGCAGCTCTGATGCTCTGGTCCCAATGCCAGCCCCTACTTCGGGGTCCCTCCTGCTCCCACCAAGACCCTCACAGACTTTTCCCTTCAGTGATCTCAGGGTAGTTCAGGCTGTGTCCTTCCTTTGGCAGTCTCTACTATAATCAACATTTCCCCACAGCTCTGATCTCAGGCCTGGCGAGAGTGGGCACCAGTCACTGTTTGCTGAATAAACATACACTGTGCCTTGTTCAGTTCTCACTGGTTCTCTCAATGTTAATGTCTCTAGCTTCTCTTGAGAGTCTCCAATGCCTGGCCACACTGTGGGTGCCCAATTCTTGTCAGGTTCTGTACCATATGCCAGCCTACCTCCCCAGTTCTCTATGCTGAAGAGCTTGTTGAAGTTGTGGGCAACATAGGGGGAAATCTTTTTGAGGTCATGGGTTCGCACACGAGTGGCCAGCAGTGACTGGTGGGCATCCCTGAAGGTTGTGTCCATCAGCAGCAACCCCTGGTGGTTCCGCACAGCTCGAGCAAAGCCCTCAGGCCCCTCTCGCAGCAGGATATCTCTGAAACCAGCCGGGGGCGGGCCTAGGGCAGACCAGGCATTAGTACCCATCCTGCAGGTGGCATCCTCTGTCTCCCCATGAGTTGGCAAAATTGATCTCACTTACCTATGGGCACCACAGGGACAATGGGGTCTGTGGAGCTGGGGTCGGCCTTAACGGGGATTGGGGTGGTCGGGCCATTCACCATGACATGTCCTGTAGAGAGAGTGGGCAGTGGTTCAGGGCAGGTTGGGCAGAGTCTGAGTTGAGGGTAGGAGTGAGAGTATGTGGGATTGGGGATGGAGGGATTCCTCCAGGATCCCCAGTCCTCCAGCTGGTCCTTGTCCTCTCCAAAGCCAGGCCCTCCTGGGTCCAGGCAGTGAGGACGGATTGAGGACCATGCAGATAGAAAAAAAAGGGGTGTGTGTGTCTATAAGTTCATGAGCAAGGAGGTTGGGCAGGAAGGCAAAGGAAAGGAGAAGGACCAGGTTGAGGGCAGGGGTGCTAGGAAGCTCTGGGCAGGAGGCCAGGAGCAAGGCATCAGAGAGGAGAGGAGAGCAGGGCAGTCTTGAGGCCGGACCGAGGTAGTACAGCAGCTTCTGGGCCCGGTTCTGTGCGGGCCGCAGCTGGAATAGCTCCGGGTTCTCGTCAATGAACTGGGTGTCCACGGTGCCTCCCAGGAACTGCTGGTTGTTGAGCACGTTCTGCAGGAAGGGGATGTTGGTCTGCAGAACAGAGGTGGGTGGGAGGGTGTCACCATTTGTCATGGCAAGAAGCTAGCTGAAGGGGCCACCAAGGCCAGCTTCCTAGTTCCCTAGGATGCCATGCTCCCTGTGGAGTGGCATTTCCCATCTCCTCACCCCCACCCACCGTCTGGCAGGGTCCCCTAAGCTGCAGGGCCTGAGCCCACTTCCTCCCTCCTTGCTCACCCCAGAGCAAGTGCTGACTCCCACCTCCTCCTTCCTCAGGAAGACAAGCACCTCCCACAGCAGGGCGGCATGAAGCAGCCACCCTCCTGCCCTCCCAGTCAGGCTTCTTGAAAGGTTCCTCCCTTCAACAGACACCCCCTCCCAGTGATATTCTCATTAAGGTCCCTCTGTGGGTAAACCCAGTGGGCACTTTCCCACCCTTCTCTTGCTAACAGCTCTACTTGGACGTTCTCTCCTGGGTTCCCAAGACATCTTGCCCTCCTCCCTAGTCGCCACTGGGGGCTTCTTTTGCTCCTGCAGGATGGAGTCTTCAGGGCTGTCACTGAGCTGTAGACAGTTCACGCTCCCTGGGACTAACTTGGCTTAGCCTAGAAAGGGGCTCCTGTTGGGGGTGGGGAGACCCCAGCTCCTAGCCCTTGATAGCCAAGCTTGGGCAGGAGCATGGAGGGGTCCGAATCAGGTCCAGCACCCTGGTCCTTTGTAGTGGTCCACCCACCAGGAAATACTCCATCCCTGGTATCTCCTAGTCCTCAGGCAACCTGGGTCCCCCTGCCCCTTCCCTTCCCTTTCCTCCAGACGTGATTCTTAGGGGACTGAGGTCGTTCCGCTAGGGCCTAGGACCTAGGGAAACGGTCCGGCAGGGGCCGAAAGGGGAGGGAGGGGCTGTGGGCCCAGCAAGGACCATTGACGCACAGCTTCAAACAGCGTGCCTCCGCCTGCCTGCTGGGAAACCTAGCCACGCCGACCAATCGGACCAGAGGCGGAGACCGGTTGGCTCCCTAGCTTGCTGGGCAGGCGGGGAGCCTGGGAAGAGGGAGGGAGGGAGGGAAGGGCAGGCAACGGGGCGCGGCGCCAGCTGGGAGACCCCGTGCGTGTTGGGGACCCTCCACGTGACTTGGTGATGCAGAACGGCTATGACCTTCAGCGTGTATCTGTGAATGCGAGGGTCCCAGTAACAGCGCGGGTTTGCGCCCGGCCCTGCCTGTGGGTGCGGGGACGTGGATGTGTGGGCATGTGTGGGTGTGTTGGGGAGGGTGCCCAGCGACATGTAACAAAGGCTCCCGGCTCTGTCTCTGGGAGATGGTGAAGGGGCCCACAAGCTGGCGCTTTGTCTGGCTGCAGAGTGACGGTTTGCGCAGCAGCAGCAGCAGCAGCAGCAGCAGCAGCGG